CAGACACACCTGTAGAGGAGAGTATAAAGACCCTGGACTGAACTGAGTCAAACATCAAGCTTCAATGAGTCTCTCCACAGCAGCTCCACAGCCTCCAGACCGACCCTGAAGATGACTCCTTCTGCCAGCCTGCTGCTGCTGCTCCTGCTCGGCCTCTCTCAGGCACTTCCTCTCCAGGAGGAAGGAATCGAAGAAGATGAAGAAGAAGAAGTAGACGAAGAGGACACTGTCGACATCACAACCAGGATTCTGACCTCCAACAACGCCACAGATGAGATCCTGCTGGAAGGAGACCTGCTGGCTCCCAAAACCAGAAACGCCATGAAGTGCTTTTTCGCGAACTGCCTGTGGAAGAAAGGCTCCAACGGCTTAGTGACAATCCCCTTCACCACGAGCAGTCAATTCACCAGCTTGGAGAGACAGAAGATCACCAACGCTATGAATGCCTTCCACAGCAAGACCTGCCTCCGCTTCGTCCCCCGTCGGAACCAGTACGACTACATCAGCATTGAGAACAAGGGTGGATGTTACTCCTCTCTGGGCAGAGCGGGAGCCAAACAGGTGCTCTCTCTCAAGAGGCAGGGCTGCTTCTACCACGGCATCATCCAGCACGAGATCAACCACGCTCTGGGCTTCCAGCACGAACAGACCAGGAGCGACCGCGACTCACACGTCAGGATCAACTGGGAGAACATCAACCCGCAGATGGCGTACAACTTCAAAAGGCACGACACCAACAACCTGAACACCCCCTACGACTACACCTCCATCATGCACTATGGAAAAACAGCCTTCTCCATCCAGCGGGGGAAGGACTCCATCACCCCCATCCCAAACCCCAACGTCCAGATCGGCCAGAGGAAGGGCACATCCTACTGGGACATTGTGAGGATCAACACACTCTACGGCTGCTAATAACAATGCTGATGATAAATGCAACAAATTCATACTTATTCTGCTTATTTTTTCCTGTAATTAATCGAAAAGCCATTACTAGTGTTGCTTTGGAAGCAACATTATATTATCAATATGTTTCAACCTTTCCAATGGCAAAATATATGAATTCAAACATGCCCAAATGATAAAAAAGCTATGTAAAGAAACAGTATTTCTTGTCGTTTGTGTCCCTTAAAAAAAAGGTAACATTGTAGAACAAACATGTAGTCCACTTCTTCAATATTTCACTAACAATTGTCCAAGTATTGATAAATATACATAATAATGAAAAATCTTTCACGAAAACAATAAAACTAAATTGTTATGTAACTTGTTAGTATATACATTGGTAAACTGACATTTAGAAAACAAAAGGGCTGCTGGCAGCATATCTACTGGTGTAAACGACTGCAAAGTAACAGGAACACTAACAGTCTCTCAGAGAGACATCTGAACAGCCATTCTTTTTTTTAGCTCCACAATGAAACAGGTGTTCAGATCCTATAGCACAATAGGGGTGTGATGTGTGTGGGTGGGTGAAGATGGGGGATTTCATCTTAAACGCAAGTGACGATAAATATCAAAAGATAACGGTTATAGATGCGGTCTATTGTCAGACACTCGTTGAATTATCGCTTCCTTTGGGTTTGCTTTTGTTCATGTACCTTGGATGAACTGTTGGGTTGTAACCGATTTTTGTCTACCTTTTACCCCAGTGAGAGGCGTGTTCATTCCATCTGTTTTCATCCTCCCGTGGTATCACTCAGTCTGGCTGCCTGCCTGACAACTATTTCTGCCATGATGTGAGGACATTTCCCATAGGCTATTCATATGGAGGACCTTCTTCCAAGACACAGCAGACAGGCAGAAAGCTGCCACTCTGCTCTGTTCTGCAAATAAATGTCCTTCGCACTATAGTCTGTACACCAGCAATTGTTTGAGGCACAGTTGTACTTGTCAGACCAATTAGTCGTGTGAAAGGCAATACATGCACAAGAACAAAAAGGTTTGTTCTTTTAAATGTAAACAAACACAAGACATCTGATTCATTTTGGGTATGTTAAAATTGTTTTTAATATTTCTTGCGGTTTTCTTCCTAAGGTTAAGGGATAAGTGGTTCATGGAATATGTATATCTTGCCTAAGAATATAAGTGCAGGAGGTTTTTTAGTCTGTATTTACCTTGTAATTTGTCTATGACAGTGATATCATCAAGTTTTGCTTGTAAAAGACATAGATAAAAGTATTAATGTTTCTTTCTTATATTTCGTTTTTTTGGAACCTAGTAAAAAAGCTTCTTAGTTAAATATATTGATAACATATCTTATATTATATATTTGTACTACTTTCCTAATCTAATTATATTCCTAAATAAAATGTAAAACAGTTTCCTTGGATTTTTCAAATTGTAACCACCACCTTGATTGGTGTTATTACTATTACAATTATTTAGCCATTAAAAGGTTTTCAGCTTTCACAGCATTAAGAGGGATATCGGATCAGTCCCTGGTGTACTGAAGCACCAAAAACAACAAAGACGCCAGAGCATATAGCCATTTTATTGTTTTACAATTTGTAACCTGATTTAAGTGTAAAATATTATTCAAATGGCCCTTTGGTACTGCAGCATATCTAGATTGAGTGAACTGCCTTAAGTAGTAATATAATTTAATTTACCTTTACAGACGGTTCTGTAGTGCCCTCTGGAGGTCATTTGAGTTGTTTATCTGTAAACACATAGATCAATCCATTAGCTGTAGGCCTACTCGCTCATCATTGAGGGCTGTGTTAGATTTAGAACTAATCGCAGCTAACATAGGGCGGGAGGCGGGTTACACTCTGGTCAGGTCACCAATTAATCACATGGCAGAAACATTCTCATCACAGTCTAATCAATTAAATGCAATACAGATTAATTCAATTAGTCAACGGAATTGATATCGATAATCAGTGTTTTGAATTAGAATGCGAAATGTACTTTGTTCTGAGGGAAAAAAAATTATGAACTCAGACACTCAGGACATATGACCCAATTGCACGACCCGGGAGACAGAGGTAAAGTAATTGTAAGATACTTTATTTTTCCAAAAGATGAACAAAAAATGATCACTATCTAATCTCAGGATGAGATGACAAAATGAGAACAACCTCATTCACAAAAGCTTGAAACACAGCTGGTGCATTGCATAGTCAAAAAGGCATTACTAGGTACTCATAGTGACCACTCTGAGTATTGAATCCTATCTTCCACTTATCCCCCTCTCTTATTCTAACCAAGTGATAAGCATTTCTTAAAATCTAACTTGGTGAATATCTTGGCAGTTTGAAGCAGTTCAAAAGCAGATGACATGAGTGGCAGAGGATAGCGGTTTTTCACCGTAATGTCATTTAGTAGACTGTAGTCTCAGAGACCTGTCTTTCTTTCCCACAAAAAAAAACTCCGCTCCGGCTGGAGAAGATGAAGGACGGATAATCCCTGACTTGAGTGAAGAGGAGGTGTAAAAATCCATTGCTGCTCTCTAAGGTCTCGAAATCGAATAAAGTCTCCCCTTGGGAATGGGGGCTCCCGGTAGGAGATCAATGGGACAGTCAAAAATCTCGGTGAGGAGGTAGCGACAAAGCTTTTGACTTGCTCACCAGTGCCCTCCTTTTGACTGGTGAGCTCGATCTTTTCCCGGGCATGAAGCGAGTTGGTGATCCAGCTGGCCGCAGTAGAAACAACAACCCTCCTGTAGACGGCGCTGCCTCTCCTCCAGAGAAAGCCTGGTTCTTCCCAGCTGCATGGGTTCACCGAAGTCATTTGGAAGTGTAGTCCTCCGACGGTCCGATAACATGGGCTGGAAATCCTCAGCTGGCGG